CCCAAATAAAGTATTAAAGGAACTGGCAACTAAAAACCAAACATTTACAGAACAAAGCTTAGATTCCATTGCTGTTTCAAAGCATTTTCTCTGGTTATGCAAAGCAATGACTTAAATAGGCATAGGAGATGAGTATTTAATTCAAGAATGGTGGCAAGAATTCTTGGTCTGAAAATAGCAATAATTTTAGCGCTAGGCAAGAAATGCCAAAAAACAGTCCAGGGGACAAATAGATGCTGGTTAATCCTGTGCTAAATCAATCTAAGAGAAATGAGGCAAGGGAATAAGTAAGAAAAGAGAATTTTAAAAAGGAGAGAAATATTGCTCATATTCTGTGGCACTCTTAAGAATTCAAGCCAGGGTGACAAAGCTCTAGCCTGTACTTAAAATGGGATAACATAAAAGAATAATGAGTTTCAACTGAGCAGTAAAAAAAAAATAGCCTTGTTAGTAGAAAATAATTGCCCTTTGTTTTGTTTGAGAATGGATAAGCTGGTAAAGATGATTGCTGTGGATATAAATGGTATTCAGAGTTGTTTCAGTTTCTTGATATATTAAGAGATAGCAACTCTCCATATATTTCTTCCAGACTTCTGACTAGCTATTTTCTGTTGAGTGTACTTTCACCATTATATAAGTACTACCAAATATTGCATGTCTCTGAGAACAGCACCCACAGAAGCACATATTCAGAAGAAGCACATTTCCGTTCTTAACTTAATTGGCAAATAACACATATCACTGATTACTTCCCCTTCAGTTTACCTCATGTGCTTAATGGTTTCTTGTGCTCTGAGCTAGGCTGCTGTTTCCAAAATAAAATTGAAACTTTGAGCCAAGGGATTTAGGAAAAAAAATGTCCAAAGTAAACACAAGTTACGGATTACCGATGAAGAGGAAGTCAGCAAAAGTGTAAATCAAAGGAAAGACAGCAGAGAGGAGATTTTTTTTTCCCATGAAAGGACATAAGAGACGTGCTGGATCAGGCCAACTGTCCATCTAGCTTAGCCTTCTCTGACTGGCTGCATTCAGGAGGTCCATAAACATGGTCAGAGGCATTGTCATCTATTGCTCTTTAAAGCAGCGGTTGCCAACTGGTGGGCCTTGAGAAATCTCACCCCCAGAGCACCCCCCCAAAGCAATTAATTCAGGCTGCGCAGAAACATAAGGCTGTGCAGCCCACATGGCCCGCAGGAACACTTTCCACCCACTCACTCCTTACCCGGCAAACTTGCCTGCTAAAATTGCTATTTTTCCTTTTTTGACCATCATCTGTTCTGCGGGAGATTTAGATTATCTAGGAAGCAAGAAACGGTTGGATTTCTTGCTTTCTAGCTAGTCTTTAGATCTTCAGCTCTGCCGAACCTCCCTTAGGACTGAAGGTTTGCTTGCAAGCAAATTCAGTGCAGACTCATGGCAAGCAAATTTAAGAGACTGAGCTAGCCAATGGCAGATAGATCACTGAATGATTCTGTGAGCAACTCTGCCTGCCTGCTTTGCCTGATTTTGGGTAAAAATTGCTCTTTTTTAATAAAAAGTTCAATATTTACATACATGGTGTGTTGTGAGTTAATTTTGTGAGTTTGCTTGCAAGCAAATGTTATGTGACAGATTGAGCTAGCCAATGGCAGATAGATTTCTGAATGAATCTGTGATTCTGTGAGTAACTCAATCTGCCTGCCTACTTTGCCTGATTTTGGGTAAAAGTTGCTCTTTTTTATAAAAAAATTCAATATTTATATAAATATTTATAATATTTACATACAAGCCATGCCATCACATGACCACCAAGCCACACCCACAAATTAGGTCATGCCTACAGAACCGGTTAGTGGTCCCTGGGATCAAAAATTGTGAGTTTGATGATCCCTGAGGTCCAAAAAGTTGGCGACCCCTGCTTTAAAGTATGCTGTCTATGGTTTCTTAATAAAAACTGTAAGGCTGATAGCCATTTATAGTCAAATCCTATATAAGTTTGTTTACCCCACCCCATTTAAACGATCTAAATAGGTGTCCATCAACTTCATCAGAGAAGAATTTGGGGATATTAGATTTCCAGAAAATTGTCTTAACCTCTCACAGTACCCTGTGAAGGTGGGAAGAATGTGTCATATTTCCTGAGGTAATGAATGTATCCGACTTTTGATCAAGTACTCAAATTCAGGAATTTTGCTGGAATATAATGGCAGTCAGCACCACATATTTCTGATAGGTTCTGATATGTTTGAGTAACCATTTCCCTCATTCCCACCTCAGCTTCGTTTTAGTGAACCTACTGCCCTTCTGAATTGCCTTCATGGTTGACTTTACTTAAGGCCTTCTGAAATTAAGGTGGCAGCAACTACAGAATGTCATCCCAGAACCTTGTTTTAGTCTTGGGGAACAAAGCATTTCCTATTATTGAAGGACAAATCCCTCATCAATTATATAATCTTGTAACCATTGTGAGCAATTTTAATATATCACTGTACAGTGATGCAGAATTGATGGGAGTGAAAATGCTATGTAAGCAGTAAATATTGCTGCAGAAAGGACAACTCTCTTGCGTTTTTATCCAAGGGGGACTTTGCCTCCAAATCTGATGGTCTTTCACTTACTAGTATCTTTAGTCAAGAAACCCAAAGGCAGACTTGGCTATGTTCCAGCATTAGAAGTTTGGAGGTCCCTAGCATACTATTGGGAATGAATAGCATTTTTAAAATTGTTCTGTGCTTGTGAAAAGGGGAAAGAGATCTCTGCTTAGTTGATGGCCAGCAAGCAAATATTGATTGGTTGGGAGGTTTTAGTGCTCAGGTAACAGTCAGAAAGAGTTGACTAGATTGCATCTCTTTGCCACCTTTAGACTTATAGCATATATCCATGGTAGATCCAAGAATACTCAAGCTGCTCAGGTCATTCTCAGGTGTATTTTAAATTAGATTTAGAACAGTTAAATAGATGGAAAGGGCATTAATTTACGAGAATACTGGAATTTCAGACCCAGGAATCAAAATGTTGGGGCCATCAAATTTGCTCTGTTGAGTCAGGTGTAGACTCATGGCAAGCCAACAGGTGTATCTCCCTTGTTACTAACTATATCATTTATATCTTCAGAAGAGTCCCCTATAAAATGTTAGTTCTTTTTCAGTAATGTTTCAGTGAGTTGTTATATTTCCTATAGATATAGAAATAGGATGAAAAGACCAAATAAGTGATACTAGGTAGTTATATTGTAAAGTACATATACAGTAGAGTAAATGGCTATACTGTACAAGTCCACTATTTTGTGATTCACTGTAAAAGGAAGTATTGAAGTCAAAGAAGGAAAATTTCTTGGGCTGTCACTTTGCTTCCAGTTAAGCAAAGTGCCATTTGTTATCTATGTTCAGTAATCCCTAAAGAAAGCACTTACAAATCTAGTACTGGTGTTCATTTAATATACATAATACATGGTTAAGAGTGGGCTGTACAGCTGCAGTCATTTCACAGTAATTATTACACACTATGAAATTATTGCATTTTTAATGAGGATTGGAAAGTTCTAGAGAGGCTCAGTGGGTTGAAGTAATTTTCGCCTATTTAGAATGGTTAAACATGGTTATGATGTAGGTGGGTTTATTGGGCCCACTTGAATAATCCCTTGGAATTTTAGGGAAAGAAACAAATTTGCACAACATTTCAAGTGCTACCTTTTTGAAGCTGTGGATGATGTTTGTTTTGCATTAATGAATTTAATTTGTGTTAGTACAGTTTAGATTGTATTGTGTTTTAATTCTAAATTGCCTTAACAATGTAAATAAACTGTACTGTTATTACATTACAGTGTAATAACACTGTAAATAAAATAAAATTGCAGCAGTAGTATGTTACTGTTCTTGCATATTTGAAAGCTATGTGCATACCATACAACACAATATAGCAATATTTACCTATTGGGTGGCTGCTTCATTCTGTCTTTTACCTTTCCTATCCCCAAATTTTATTTTCTGCCGAGAGCATTTATTGTAGAGTTGAGTTAGATTTTCTATGAACAGCTGCTAATATGATTGTTCAACAATTAATATTAGCGCGGATAACTTAATAGAACAAAGATACCTATACATGTGGAGCAAAAGTTAGCAAAATTTAGATGGGAGACAGTTAAGACGATTCCTCCCTAGTAGTTCTCAGAATATGTTTAATGGTGTTAAGTAGTTTCTTTTAATTTGGTAAGATTTTGATCTATAGGCGAGGAACAGTAAAGGAAACTGCTTAAAAGAATCACAGCTTTCTTAGTTTTAGAGCTAAGATGTTAACTCTTTTTTTGCATGGTGGGAGTTTTAAAGGATTAGGGTTAAGGGCAAAATGGATGCTATAGGCCAGTGATGGCTAACCTTTCTGTCTTTACGTGCTAAAAGTGCATGCACACACATGCATGCCAACACCCATAAGGAAATGCATGCAGGAGGGCCCACACCCCTTGCACATGCGCGCACGACTTCCCTGCATGCACACTGCACATCTCTGCACATGCACGTGTGACCCCCCTGCCGCCCCGCGCCTTTCTGTGTGTGTGTCTCATGCGCACCCCTGCACATGTGCAGCAGCTACCCGACGATCAGCTGGCGGGCGGGCGGCATGCACGCATGTGCAGTGGACCTGCTCCAGGGCAACGGCTCGCATGCTGGCGAAGATGGCTCTGTGTGCCACTTCCGGCACGCATGCCATAGGTTCGCCATCATGGCTATAGGCTTTGTATATATTTAGGACATTCATTTCATCTCTTAAAAACCTACTACTCCCCTCTTAGAACAGATCTTACCCCTACCTATATTTTGAATACAGCCTTCAACATGCCATGTACAATCTGGAGCAACCATCAAGCCAAGAGAAATTGTTTGTCCCTGAGCAAATTTCTTATACTTATTCTTACACTTTCTTATACTTATACTTTTTTGGGGGGGTGGGGGGGGTGTCATCTAACTACACTGGTGTCATATTATGTCTACCAACTGCTCTCTTTATTCTTTTGATGTTGACAGTGTAGCAAAACCTGCGGCAAGGGGTCTAGATACCGGAAACTTATCTGTGTTGACCAAAACATGCACGAAGTTGATAGTCTTCACTGTGATCCAAGCAAGAAGCCATCCGATGTTGAGATTTGCACCTTACCCCCATGTGAATACATTTGGATTACAGGAGACTGGTCAGAGGTATGTGTCTTAACTCTGGGCAAAGGAAAAACTAGCAAGGCTTCGTTGTTAAACTATAATCAATGACAGTTATACAGAAAGGCAAGATAAAATGTGCAAACCAACCAGCTTTGTAATGCTCTTTCCTATTTAATAATTGAAATGATGTTTAAAAATTACTAACAGGGATAAAAGTCATAGGGAATACATGTAGCCTACCAGCATCCCTTAGCAATTAGAAGAATCTCCTCCATGGTATTGTGATGGAATGCAGTCCTGATTCCCAGGAGGGAAGGAAGTTGGCTCTTCATTGATTGATTTGTTGGGTTGCGAAGGAGAGGCTTGGCAGAAAGTATGCTTAGCTCATAGTAGAAAAGGGTTCTCAAACCTGTGGAGCATCTGTACAACCAGTGTTCATTCTAATGAAGCTCAGAAATTATACTTAATCAAATCAAAGCTGAAGAATCTTAATGCTTGCAGCAAAGTAGAGATAGGGTTGCCATCAAAAGTTGGCATTTGCAGATAGGTGTCAAAGCTAATTTTTATAGAAAGGTCCAGCTGACAGTATCTGGAACTTTTTACTACTTCAATCAAATGTCGCTTATGAGCATTCATGTGAAATAGATGGAGTAGTTTCTATTGAAGTTTCACGACTGTCTGGATTTATTTATTTATTTATTTAGCGTATGGCAAATACCTGAACTTAGAGTGGTTCAAATGTTAATATCCAGTCCATCCAGCCATTCAAGGACAGGGTGGTCTATGTTGAAAAAATCAGACATTGGGCTGGTGTAAGCTCTTGATGGAAATTCAGACACAATGTGATGGATATTTTGTTGAGGAACACCACAGTCATACTGAGGGGTAGAGACAAGACCCCACTTAAACAATGAGTCCTGGAAGACACCATGTTGGATATGGATCCTGTTCAGAGTTGACCAATGCTGGTGAGGAAGGTCAAAACCTGGCATCTTTTGTGTAAGGTCAACTACGTAACTGCCTATATCTGGGCATTCAGCAGCCCATTTGGTTTTCCACTGTGTGTTGATGCCAACATTGTTAGACAGCTGTCTGGAATAGACAGTAGTAATAAAGAAATTGGACCATCTTAGTAAGATCTCACCTAGAACACATTTTATTTCAAAGGTCTCCCCTAAGTGTGACGCTAGTATTGTATGTACAGAAAAGAGTACTTTAGAGAAGTTGGAAATATTAACCTTAAAAAGAACATGGTTAATCTATTTTGGTATTTTACCAAAGTGTTGAGGAAGTGACATAAAGTCAATTGCAACAGTATCGTCTGTAAAGTTCCTGGTGCATTGTGTTTTTCAAGATTGCTAGCCAGAATAAGTTAAATAGAATCAGATTTGCAAACTACAGCTAGATTTTAAGTCCTTTGTCCTCCAATCTTGTGTCTCCCAGTTGTGTTGGAATGACTACATCCAAAATTGTTGGATTTGTAATTTCAATACATCTGAAGGATATTGGGAAAGACTGGATTTGGGCAGCAATTTTCTGTTATTGAGTGAAAGAAGGGGGTAATCAAATTATCTATCTAATCAGGAAGCAGAAGTCTTGGTCCTATCCAAAATTTATATTTGGCTTGAAAACCTGTTTCCCTAATTTCTAGTCCAAAATCTAGCAGCAAAATTGTACCTTTGCAGGAAATTCAGTAACGTTTTTAGCACGGATTTCTATGTTTTCCTAGTAAAAGTGCTTCTGGCTTCCTCAAGAAAGCAAACAAAAAGTTCACAGTTAGGGGAGAACCATATCAGTCAAAACTAACCAAAAATGATAAAATATAAATATTGTATCCGTTCCTTTGAACAAAGCCACCCTATTCACAAATTATATATGGGCTTTGCACAAGTAGATAGTAAAAGGGATATAGGGTGCCTTCCTGTTTCCAGGAAGCAATATCAATCATACAGAGTCAAACAGCAGGAGTTCCAGAACATTTGGCCCTGTTTCCATAAAATTAAAAAGATACTGTGGCTATTTTCCTTCAACGTTCCCACCCACCCTATTTGTCAGAGCAATTGAAACAGGTACTCAAAGGATTAAAAGGCAGGATTGAAATAATCCATCACGTTTCGCCTCCAGCTTCTTCTTTCACTTCACATTCATCCTGTGTTCTTCTGTTTTCTAGTACTTTAGCTTCCTGGCCATACAAAGTTTTCAATTCCGCCATGACCACTGCTGTTAGTTTGACAGACAGGGTGAATACAAAGTAAAAGTACTCATCCTGTATTGTCACCTATCTCTTATGGATTGCCTCATTTCCTGGAAAGGATGTGACCCTGAAGAAAAATTATGGGGAAGTACCAAGGTTATCCATCCTCCCAAGTTGATTACCAAATTCTATGCTTCCAAGGTAACACTTACAAATCACTCCCCACCCAAACTAGACAAAGCTAGGAAGTTTACCTTCCCCAGAAGTTAAGTCAATGAACCTGCCAGCTGAGGAATCAAGCCCCAGGACCAACAAAGGAATATAGTGTATTTTTCAATCTATAAGATGCACTCCCCCCCCCGCCCGCCAAAAGTGGGTGGAAATATCTGTGCATCTTATAGAGCGAATGTTGCCAAAGCTCTGCCCACCCACCAGACCCTACCCTTTGGCTCAGCAATTTGCCTTAGCAAACAGCCTGGTCAGTTTCAGCCCAGCCTGATTTAGCATGAGCAGCTGATTGGCAGTTGGATCTGCCTCCCAGAATAGCACCGATCAGATGTTTCATGCTGTGGGGATGATAGGCAGCGATCCTCACAGCCTGGAATGGGCCCAAAACGGACAAGCTGAAAATGGGGCATGCGGAGGCCGAAAATGGGACGTGTGGAGGCCGTGATGGGCGGTGACAGCGGCGATCCCCTCAGCCTGTAAAAGCTGATTGGCAGTATTCTGGGAGGCCAGTCCAACCGTCAATCAGCTGCTTGTGCTAAATCAGGCTGTGCTGAAGCTGACTAGGCTGTTTGCTGTTTGCTGCAAGGAGGCAAATTGCTGGGAGGCAAAGGCAGATTTTTTTTTCCCCCTTCTTGTCCTCCCCAAAAGCTAGGTGCGGCTTATACTCTGAAAAATACGGTACTGATGGAATTTAAGCCAAAACACCTGGAAAGTACCCAAGCTGGAAATAGTAGCAAATAATTTGACTTGGCAAATAATTTAAAATAGTAGTAAATAATTTGACTTGTGAAACTTCATAGGCCACTGGATAGCTCATTTCCTACTTTGTCAAATGCTTTCTTGATTTTTTTTTTAAAACTGCATGTTTCTTTTGCTTTGTATTTTTCAGTGCTCTGTGACCTGTGGTAAAGGCTACAAGCAAAGGCTGGTTTCCTGCAGTGAAATTTATACAGGGAAAGATCACTATGAGTACGGTTATCAGAACACTGTCCATTGTCCAGGCACCCCACCACTAAATGTGCAGTCATGCTATCTAGGCGAGTGCCCTGTTTTGGCATCGTGGAGAGTTGGAAATTGGGGAAGTGTATGTTTCTAAATTTTTGTTTTGTTATTATTCATGATTTATTTTGCTACGTAGCCCAACTGACCTTAAAGAAATCTTTCGTGGATTACTGTGTGTTCCTTCATGAAGTAATCTTTATCTTTTGTCTATTCCATGGCTGTACAAACTCATGCCCAAGAGCCATGTACTGTATGCCAAATGCTCCTCCTATTTATTGATTTATTCCTATTTACTGATTGATTTATATGACAGTCCTTCTCAACATAGTAATTTTGGTTTTTGGCTAAAAAGGCATCGGAACATATAGAATGGATTATTTAAATATCTGTAACAGAAAAATATAATAATTAAACATACATAAATAGTACAGTGTGACCAGGGCTTCTAGTGAACTATCTGAAATTGAAATAATTTTATGTATCAAGCTAAGCAGGCATCCTTGGCACAATGTTTGCAGGATACCCAGATCTTTGAAGCTCTACAAAAGGCTAACAGGGTTAGTTAATCCAATTGTGTGTGGGAAACATTTTTCCATAGGTGCCATAATAGGGAAGGAACGTCTCTTGGGTTGAACGTCTCTAGATGGCAGAAGGACACAGAGCATGTCTAACCTGCCACATTATGTGGGATGAGCAGAAATACTTAGATAAAGGCAGACCTGCAAACAAGCCGGCACTATGACACTTTGAATTAACACCCCAAAGCTTACTCTGAGCCAGAACAGTTTGAAAAGCAATGTTGCTACATCAGTAAATCGGGTTATGCCCCAAACTAGTGTGTACTGGGACACACTAGATCCCTTGCAACTACTGCATGCAGATCACATTGCACCAGTCCAACTGGAAGGTGAACAAAACATGGGTGACTGTGAGCATAGCCTCTCCAGGTAAGAAGGGCCACAAGTTATACACCAAACGGATTGCACAAAAACCTTCAAGGCCATGGCTGCCCTCTTCTCAGTCAACAGCTGCAAGCCCAGGAGTACCTGCAAATTGTCTGCCACCCTAACCAGAGTCAAAGGTAGAAACATCTTCAGATTCTGGAGGCCTTAAAGCCTGCAACCATTTGGGCTTGCTAGAATTAAAACAAAAACTGACCTTTCCCATCCAGCCTCCACATACCAGAAAAAAACCTTAAGAGCAACCCAGGGTACAAATGTACAACTGAGCACCATCAGCACACTAATTATACCTCACTCTCTGCTAATTGAGGGTCTCACCTACAAGTTTCATACAGACTTGCTACTGAGTTGTACATTCAACATTCAACATTTATTAAATACAAATTGATTAATTATATTTAATGAATTTTAGTTCCTGGTTTGTTTCCACTCACCTCATTTTCATGGCCCCATTTATGTTTTAGAAAATGGCCTGTTGCCAAATACACCTTTTCACCCTTCAAAGGTTGCCTACCCTGATTTAATTCTCCCTACCTACAAAAGGGGACACAGTGGCTCAGTGGCTAAGATGCTGAGCTTTTCGATCAGAAAGGTCGGCAGTTCGAATCTCTAGCACCGCGTAACGGAGTGAGCTCCCGTGACTTGTCCCAGCTTCTGCCAACCTGACAGTTCGAAAGCATGTAAAAATGCAAGTAGAAAAATAGGGACCACTTTGGTGGGAAGGTAACAGTGCTCTGTGCGCCTTTGGCATTTAGTCATGCCAGCCACATGACCATGGAGACTTCTTCAGACAGCGCTGGCTCTTCGGCTTTGTAACGGAGATGAGCACCGCCCCCTAGAGCCAGAAAGGACTAGCACGTATATGTGAGGGGAACCTTTACCTTACCTACAATGAATGGCCAGAAATTACAGGTTTTATCTGTATACAAAGGATATCTACATAATTATATCTCTGCTGACATAAATGTTAGTGGCTTTGAGAAGTACATGTTTGGTTCCTGGCAAAATAAAATAAAATAAATAAAATGAAATAAAATGAGTAACCAACCAGTTAACATAAATAGAAAATAGCAACAAAGGGTAGAAAATTTGTTCCAGATTCAGTTCTGGCTTCAGAGGGAATTCATTTTTCCTTACCTAGGTTATCTCCTCACTGCCAATCATTGTTTCTCCTCATGCATAAGGAAAAGCAATATGAACTCTAGGCGGTTGAATAAATGAAGAAAGAAAGCTAGGCAGGCCAACACTAAATAAGTAAGTGTTGACCGAAGCATGCTTAAACCAAGGTGGTCAGATTGTGTGGTCCTGTGTTGCTAGGAGATACAGAATTTTGCTACTGAAAAACCCAAATTCCATTTACAAGGTCACATACAGATCTTTCTTTCCTTTTAACACCATTCCTACACAACTGAAAAGTCTGGCATTTGTTTGGAGTTCAGAAGGCTCTCCTCTCGCTGTGACCAATTGTTTGTATTGCTTGGATACAGAAATAAAATCCAATCCATTTGAACTTTAGAAAAGAGCCTTTCTGACAGCTCTTCAAGTAACTTTCATATTTATTAAATGGATTTTCACTTGGCTTCATACAGTTTACGATACAAAGCTTGTTGTGGCTGTAGATCTTTGCTAAAAGAGAAATTAGTCCTTGAATAGTCTGTTATGGTGAAATGTTGCTTATATTTCTTTTCAATAGTTATTACTGATGCAGTTAGAGAAGTGTGGTTTAGAGCAAGGAAGTTCCCTTCGAGAAAATTCAGCAAATTCATATATTTTTTTCTATTTTTGAGGCTGGAAACACAAAAGCCGTAATGTAAATCTTAAAGTGGCTTAGCATGGTTTTAAAAACATTAACATTTTGTCCTACACATTTTGCATCTTTGTCTCACCCAATGTTGGGGCCCATGTACTCCTTCCAACCAGTTATAGATAATCCTCTGCCCACCCAAAGGTGACTTAGATGTGCTCTCAAAACCCTCTAATGTGCTCTTAAATTAGGGACAATGTAGTTTCTAGTTTGTGCTAAAAATGGGAAGTGTTACCTTAAGCTTATTTATTCCTTAACCATATGTGTATCCATCTGCATTTGTTTATTGTTTTGAAAATAATTTCTCTAAATAACTGCAAACAGCTGATGCAGTCTGCAATTTATCCTGCAGTTTATCCTGCTACTTCTCCTTAATTGTTCCATCTTTGATCTGCACCTTACCAAAGAGTTTTATTGCAGAAAGATCAATGATATTTTGAACAATTAATTGGTTTTCTTTCAGCATGTCCTTTTTTTCAGATGGTATATTACTATATCCAGTCATAAATAGCTGTGATAATATGCCTGCCAGCAAACAAATCTGTATATGTTGCACAGAGAGAGCGAGTTAGTTAGATGGCAAATTGCTGTTTATAGCACTGGGTAAAAACTGCATAGTGTGTGAAAAGTTTCCTCCCCCGTTTTTTCTACTTTTAAAAATTGTTCTGCTATTTAAGCCTCCATAGGCTTGTAGTGCTCACTGTGCATAGTTCCTAATATCTTTGTGTTTTTAAAGAACATCTTAATTTTCACACAGTTGTTCCAAATACGTAATAAAGCATTTGTAGAGTTCAGAAGAGCCAACAGGATAAAGATGCACAAACACTTTTTTATCGGTCTTTAAATTAAGCTTTGGTTTTGTTGGCCAGTTAAGTTTTCATTCTCTCTTTCTTTCTCCCCATAATTCACTAGAAAGCTATACATGGGTATTAGGAAAGGTTCTGAATTTGGTTTCCTTTCTTTTCAGTGTTCGGTGACTTGTGGAATTGGGGTGATGCATCGGTCAGTTCAGTGCCTCACAAACAGTGACCAAACAAGTACTTTGTGCCTTGATGATTTAAAACCTGAGGAAAGGAGACCATGCCACAACATCCATAATTGTAAGACTCTTTGGAAATGACTTTTATTTTTCCTTTTAATCAGTGCTGGGATTCAAAACTTTTTACTACCGGTTCTGTGGGCGTGGCTTGGTGGGCATGACATGGTTTGGTGGGTGACAGGGACGGTTACTGTAAAATCTCCATTCCCACCCCATTCCTTGGGGAAGGTTACTGCAAAATTCCTCTTCCCTCCCCATTCCTGAGGGAAGGTTACTGCAAAATCCCCATTCCCTCCCCACCCCACTAACCTGCTTTCCAGCTCTGTTCTCCTGTGCAGGGCAACAAAAGAAGACCCAGCTGATCAGCTGGGACTCAATGGGAGGCAGAGAATAGATGGGAGCAGGGCTAGTCAGAGGTGGTATTTGCCGGTTCTCTGAACTACTCAAAATTTCTGCTACCGGTTCTCCAGAACTGGTCAGAGCTGCTGAATACCACCTCTGCTTTTAATCCTGCACTAATTCAGTTCTAGTTCCACACATTTTTATATCACGTCTCACACTTTTTCAGTCAAATTAAATTAAGCCTTGCTGGCTGGGGAATTCTGGGAGTTGAAGTCCATGCCACTCAAAGTTGCCACAGTTGAGAAACACTCCTTTAGAAGGATTTAAAAAAGAACCAACAGCTCCTTTCCACGCTCACACAATCTCTCTTAAGTATTTGGGAACTCTGGTTTGAAGAACCCTCAAGTGATCTGAAGCTTTGGCATTACTTCAGTGGTATATTGTAAAAATGCCCTGCAGCACTTTCTAAGCCAGGAAGGCAACAACAGAAATAGCAGGGAATATTACAGTGCTTGATTTCATGACAATGCATGGGGCTCAGTTCTTGAAAGACCATCATTTGTGCAGTCTCGAATGCAGGAAGAAGCAAAGGGGGAGGGAAATGAATGTAAGGCACAAATAAAATTTCCTAGGATCTAGGTCAGTGGTGAGATTCAAATTGTTTTGTCACTGGTTCGGTGGGCATGTCTTGATGAGCATGCTTTGCCTAACGCTGGGGCTGGTATCAGTTGAAATGAAGAGCAACCAGTGATAACATATCACTTAGATGGCTATGTGAGCAAAATGCCATAGGTTGCACTGACATTGGAAGCCTGGTGCTGAGTCATTCACACACACACATACACACACACAAAATCTTACCTTTTACAAATTTTATAACATCACTACAGGTGTTGGTGGGGGAGGTTCCCTGCTTCATACACTTCCAAGGCCTTTCTCTTTAATTAAATAATTGAAGCTATTTCACGTATCTTGAAATATTCATAGTAATATTCCACTGATCAGTTGTTAGAAATCCACGCTGTGTTATTTTTGACTGTTTTGTTTTTGCTGATTAGAACCTCATCTTTCTTTTCCTTATTTTAGGTGAACTACCAACAAGCTGCAAAGAAGCAAAAAGACTCCAAGTCATTACTGAGGATGGTGAATATTTTCTGAAAGTTAAAGGAAGACTTTTAAAGGTGTGATTCAAATACCTCCTCTGTTTTTGGAGGGGAATACTGTTTATAGGACAGGGAAAAACAAAACCTTAGATTCATGTGACTACAGATTCTTCTGCTTCTTGTACATTTCTGTTGGCTTGCTGGAAGTATAGGCATTTGTTTTTCAGTGAATTAGAAGCAAGGCATTCCACAATAAGTATCATTATGAAGAAAACTTTCTGTTTCAGCTCTCAGTTCGAGAGGGAAAAGATTATTAGAACAATGTGAAAAGAAAATGAGCAATTGGCCCTTTGAGATTCAATTACATTTACATTGTGCAGCTTTTCAGAAAATCATAATTCTATATCCTCTTCTTATTTCTGCCCTTTGCGCTCATCATCAGTTTTAATTATTTCATAAAATTATGGCTCCTTTCCCCCCCCCCAGATATATTGTGCTGGCATGGACTCTGATAGCCCTAAAGAATACATCACTTTGGTAAATGGTGATGCGGAGAATTTCTCAGAAGTCTACAGCTACAGGTAAGAACAGTCAGCCATTCTGTATTTTTCGTTATGTCTCGTACTTTGCATAATTTTTCGTGCAGTAAGTAGAAAAGGGTTTTCTTTTGATTCAGGTTACATAACCCTACTGAGTGTCCCTATAATGGAAGCCGAAGAGAGAATTGTCAGTGTAGAAAAGATTACACAGCCGCTGGGTTTTCTGCCTTCAGCAAAGTAAGGCTGGACCTGAACGCTATGCAGATAATAAGTGAGTAACAATAATATTTTGTTTCTCATCTTGTTTAACTTTGTTGGAATTGTTTGAATTACTATTTTAAAAGAGACCAGCTTACATTTCCCAAGTTTAACTTTTATGTTACCATATTTTCCTTTAAAATGAAATATTTTACCTTGCATGTTAAACTTAGTTCTCTGCGAATGTTCTTTTCCCGATCTTGTCTCAGCTAAACTCAAATGTGACATCATAATCTTAGGCATTGATATGAAAAGTCTACTTTATGTGATACCATTTCTCATTGGGAAATTAGTGTAGGAGATAATTAGGTTGAGCCTGAGGGAGGAGTCAAACACATCACCAGTCACGAGTCCCTTTGACCCACAAAAGACTAAGTCCAGCCCACCATGAATGCCTTATCTACCACCAAATTGTTTTGAACATTATCAGTTCAGATTCTTGTAGAAAGCTTAAGTTTGCAATAAATCCTGATACCCATTGGGTATCTGGGATCTCCTGATTTCCTTGGAGCTTGACATTTCACAGTATTGGGAAGGTGGTTGTAACCAGAATTCCCTTTTGACTGAAGTCCCATCAGAAAGGGTATACAGGAGCAATCCGATTGCACAATTTAGCAATAATATTGGAGCTGGTTTTTGTATTCTAACTGGACGTTGTCTCGAGCTAGAGACAGTTCCTAGCGATAGCTCCTAAAGAGGCGTATGAAATAGGCCGAATACCTTGCAGTTCTTTTATGGTCTGTAGGACTACATCCACACTTTATGCTTATGTTTGAAAACAAATGGCAGGGGGAAATTGCTGCTTTAGAACAATCCTACAATTTTAGATGTATTAGAAAACAAAGAAACAAATGGAAAAGAGGCAAACCTGTAGCCCATTGCTAAAAGATTGGTGCCCCTACATATTTACAATGCTTGTAATGGTGAATGGCTTAACCCAGAATTATTCCTCATTTTCAGTATCTCACTACACAAATTTAAAACTTTGTGCCACGTTTCTTATTGAATTATCTATGTGAAAAATCAGGGAGGATTGCTGATGAGTCAGAAAATAAATGTGTAAAGTTAAGTGTTTTATTTTATGTAAGAGCCAAATTAAACATTTGCATTTTTTTTTCTTTTACAACCATTCCATTTCCCCCTTTGTCTCTGTGGTTCTTGCCAAATATTTTTTTCACAGCTACCGATTTGCAGTTTGCACAGACACTTGATGGGAGACCTGTTCCTTTTGCCACTGCGGGGGATTGCTACAGTGCAGCCAAATGCCCACAGGTATCCCTCTAGACCTTGATTCCGAGTTATATTCCAGCATTTTGTCATTTATTCCCAATCAAATCAATCACACGCCAGCCATTGCCTTATTCTGTCACTCCTTGTCTAACATCTCCTTTCTTAAATATTGTACAATGTTGTTTTTTTTAAATTGTACTGGCAAGAGTATGTTTCTCTGAACTGAGGGTTTGTTGTGGTGGTCCAAATATTGTGGTGATCAAATGTTCTTTAATTTGTTTTTCTTATATTTAATACATGAGCCATGCAAAGTGGTAGGAAATTTTTTTGAAACCCACCCCTGCTAGCAGATCAAAATTACGCAAATATAAGTACATAAATAGGTACCACTTCAGTGAGAAAGTAACAATGTCCCGTGCACTATCATACCGTCAGCTACATGACCATGGAAATGTCTTCAGATAATGCTGGCTCCCTTAGCTAAGAAACAGAGATTAGCAATGACCCCTAGACTCAGACTCAACTGACAGGGGAAACCTTTACTTTTACCTTTAAGAGCATTGCATAAAGTTACAGTAAAAATAAAATACACAGAGTCCTGTTTTACCTGATAGAAACACCAGCGCTTCATGCAGCAAAATAACTATGTGCTCCAAATATTTGAGATTAATTGGGTGAAAAAAGAAGAGATACCCCTTCAATTGATTAGGTAGAAAAATATTATGATGTAATAATAGAACTAAACTCATAATGTGTTCTAGGTCTCTTTTAGCATTTGTATGTCACAACATGTTCAGACATACAAATGCTAAAGGAGCCTTAGCTTTGGCCCCAGAAAATCCTGACAAGTCAACAAGGCAAATGTCCTATGTAGATAAAAGAGCAAGAAAATATACCTGTCCAAATGTAGGAAAGTTATATATTCTCATTCTCTCTGTGTCTCTCCCTCCCTCCCACTGTTCCTCTCTCTCCCTCTCTCTCCTCTCTCTTTCCCTCTTTCAGAAGAGTTAAAGAGCAACAAAGATCACTTGAGGGACAAGAATGCCCTCAACTGGCAGGCCACAGCAAGGCAGCCTTGTTCTCAAACTGCTACAAATGAGAATAAATGCTTAATCTCATTCCTGCTGTGATTTGTACAGTATGTGCTAATCGCTGCGAGTGCTTGGAACAATTGAAAACAGTGCCAGGGAGATCTTGTTAGAATAATGACTCTTGTGGTCTACTGTTACACAGGGGACCCAAAGCACTAGAAAACGACATTGTTCACAAATAGATTTTCTCTCTTTTTCTTCCCTCTGTCTTTGTTTTTAAAGGAGCATGCATTTGGAGTATTTAGTAATCATTTCCGAGAGCCAGTACAATTTCATATACGTCTTTTCTTGTTTTTTTGAAAGGGTCGCTTTAGCATCAACCTCTCTGGAACTGGCCTGTCAGTACTGCAGACCTCAAAGTGGCTTTCACAAGGAAATTACGCTGTTTCTGAAATCACAAGATCTCCTGTAAGTGAAACTTACTTTGAATTAAAATGTTGCATATGTTAACTTGCTGCTCCTTCTTGTAAATCGCAAAAGTTCATGTGTGTGTGTATATACGAAAGGGTAGCCCCTTGAAGTCAAAATTAAAAGCCCAAGAATTGCAAAGCATGGTATGTAATTGGTGGGGTTAAACCCATACAATGGAGTAAATTCAACTTGATCTGTATTATTGCAATTAATTAGTGGATCTCCTTAACTGTGAAAGTAAAAAGACTGAGCTTCGTGACTGCACATACTTCTTTAATTAATTGTCTGAGTCCTCCATAGTAGGCAGTTCAGTGCTTGTTCTAACAATGCCATTAAACTCAAGGAAAAAAAGACAAATTCTTTCCCAGGGTCTGTAGTACCTAAGTACCCTCATTTTCCATGATTCCAGAGAAATAATGCGCTAGGCTGCTCCATTCTGTATGGCTTATTTATACTATACTAATAATTGTATAGTAATTTCATGAATATGCCTGAATATAACATATAGCAAGAATAAATAAGCATAAATAAGTCAAGGCAGCTAACACACCTAATATACCTTCCTCTTTCTATTTTTCCCAAAACAATAACCCTGAGAGGTGGATTGGGCTAAGTGAGAATGACTAGCCCACAGTTACCCAGCTGGCTTTCATACCTAAAGTGGGACCAGAACTCACACTCTTCTGGTTTCTAGCCTGGCACCTCCAACACTAGACCAAATAGTCTATTTTCTACACATAACCCAGTCCATCAGGTCAGCAAAAGCATTCAGGCAGAACAAGAACAAGTGCAATCCATTTTAGGTTTCCTCATGATGGTCCCCAGTCTTTCCCCTGAAGCTGCACACCCACAGTTTGAGAGTCTACACAAATTTCAATCTTGCCGTGATCAACAATTTGCTGCAATAAGCAGGACAAGTCCAGCAGAATGGTTGGCATACTTGGGCCACTTGCACATAAAGGAAGCCAAGCAGGGGTGGGCTGCTGGGGGCTTTCAGGGGTTTGGGAGAGCCCCTAACTAAGATTATGTGCAATTGGGAGAACCACTCCTGGCTGATCCCGCCTGCCCCACCCCTCCCAGGAGTCCCCACATGGCCCATTTTGGATGCAGGTAAGTGCAGGGCACACAGGGAGGCTTGGGGAGGGCAAAAAACTGGCTTCCTAGAAGTTCAGGAAGGTGAGAAACAAAGAAAGCCTCTGGAGCCTGGGCAGGACAAAAGTCCCGTCCCCCCGGCCATGGTGCAGGAGGCCAACTAGGCCACACCCACCATGGCCACGTCCACCCAGCAACCGAGCAGAGAACCCATTGCTAATATTTTTGAAGCCCACCTCTGGAGCCAAGACATGTGGAAAATGAAATCATGTTTGTCTCAAAAGGGACAGTGCAAAGGGGAATTTTCACTTGGTTACTCTGAAGCAGCTGAAAAAAATAATAATCGATGTTCAGCAGTAACTCCTAGAGGGAGTCCCAAATGACCAACTGAAAGCAGAGAGTCAAGACAATCAATATTGTCTACTTTCCCTGCTTCAGCTGTCAGGCGTAGTTCTTGAAGTTTCACTGTCAGGAGAATAAGTGAACAAGAAAGTGGGATCAGTATCAGAGATCAAGAGTAGCATACATGGAAGTTTTGTAGACTTCAATTTAACAACATGTAAGACTGGAAAGTCTCACGTATTGTTTGTTTATATATATATATTTCTGAGGCAAATTCTGTTGTTTTTAAATCAAAAGGCATTTGAAGCTGAAATAGATTTAAACTTAGAATAACCTTTATTGTCACTCTGAATGTACGCTAATCAGCATACATCAGAATGAAATTTTGTTGCATGCATCTTTCAAAGGGTCACTACTTCCAAAATACATTGCATAATCACGACAGAATAAATAAATAAATAATAATAAATAAATAAACAAACAAAATAAATAAATACATACATACATACAAAATTATGCATATACCCACATATATTAAAGAAAACAGAACAAACATTGAATATTATATGTATATAATTTCATTTTAAAATCATAAGGTTTTACAAAGTTGGGGTGGCGACGTCTTTGTTTTATGATACATTTTTTATTTTACTATCAGTTCTTTCATTTCGTTGTATGTTTCTTTAACCTAAATATATTTTCCTTTTATAACCCTCTGCATTTTCACTATGTTCCCTTTGCCTAATGTAATTGGGGTTAGGATTGTAAATACATTTTCCTTCCATAAATTGCTCAAATAGATTTGGGATATGAAGAATTGCTTTTACTCTTCTCTGATGTATTTTTTTTCTCATTTATTTATAGGATGGTACCAAAGTAATAGGAAAATGTGGTGGTTACTGTGGAAAATGTACTCCATCATCTGGAACTGGCCTCGATGTTCAAGTGTTATAGCAATGGTAAATTGTAATTTCTGCATATTTTTGTGTTTATATTTACAGATATTTAAATGTTTATGGGCTTAATTGTGTATCTGGTCAGTATTAATTTATATATTTATTTATTTCATCAACTGAGTCTATGTTTATTTCCGGTGAAGTTCATTTGGCTGAACTGTAATTCCACCAGACAAGTTTTGCTTTGCAATCTCTCAGCCTCAGAATTATGGTACATGGAATCATCAAATACTGTACACTGATGCATTTGAGTATAATGACATCACTTCTGGCACAAAACCATACTTGGATTTAGCTCTAAAATTGTCACTTCCACCTTTTCCCTAAGTTTGTCAGATTTGTGTGATTTGTTCAAAAGTCAGTACAGGTAGACATCATTTACTGACTACTTCATTGCTTTAAGGAGGAGGAGCAGACAGGAGTTTTGTGTCCTCATATTTATTTATTGATTGATTGATATTTATATTACCACCTATTCACCCATGGTGACTCAAGGCAGCTTACAGAATAAAAAAACCACATTTAAAACAATAAAAACTAACAAAAGGAATCAAATAAATTAATACAGTACAATATAACAAAATCACTCCCCAATTCTCACCCCCGCCCTGGAGACAGCAGATCACACGAGCCATGTAATGGGCTCCATCCCACTCTGGGTTGCCCAGGCCCGCTGGCAGAACCAGGTCTTCAGCGCCTTCCGGAAGAGTATTAGAGTGGGGGTCATTCTAATCTCTGGAGATTAATCACTCCAGAGAGAGGGAGCCATCACAGAGAAGGCCCTTCTTCTGGGTCCCACCAGGTGTATCTCCCTCAGGGATGGGATCCGCAACATTCCCTGCCTCCCCACTCTGATGGGTGGATGTGACCAGCAAGAGAGGATCCCTCAGATAACCTGGTCCCAAGCCATGAAGGGCCTTAAAGGTGACAGCCAGCACCTTGAATTGCACCCAGAAGCATATGCTCCAAAGCCCCTTTATGGACTCCTCTAGGAAACATTTCATAGGCTTGCTGATTATGACAAGCCATCCGGACTTTGATTAAGATGTTCAAAGAGGCCCTTCTTTCACTCACTATTAGAGGCACATTTTGTAGATACTTTCTCAGAAACTATATCCATAGCTCCTTGTTTCAAAATGACAAAAGCAGTATTGTGAGACAAACTCTACTCCTTCACATATAAAAGGAGTAGAGTGTGCTTTGTGATAGTTACAATACTGCTATCAGCAGATGTTCAGTTTCATGCTGACTGTCCTCAGAGTTTAGAACTCCATCAAACGATATAAGGAATAGCAATGTCGGAAACATTCTTAATCATTTGTCAATTGATTAAGTTTTAACTTTTATTGCTTTGTTTTTCTTGAATATTCAGATGTCATCACAACAATATTGCTTACTACTATGACATTTCATAAAAAAGCAATTTCTCAGTAATCCCATCCACTTAAACCTATCCCCGTCTGGTATTTCTGAATTGCCATTCATTCATTCATTCCCTTTCTTTAAAGATGAGCACTCAAGGCAGCTAATCAACTCCATACAAAAATAGTGGTTTGGTTTGATTCTTTGTTTGCTTTAAGGAAAGTCTACCAGTTTTCTTTTCAAGTTGACATTTTGGATGTCAGCCATGTCTAGGACACTTGACCCTTGGGGAAGTTATTCTCACAAACTTGGTGGTTCCAAAAACATTGAGGAATTGCTGAGTCTGCGTGTATTGAATATATGCATAATTCAATTATCTGCATATAAAGCCTAAGTCGAATGACATAAAGATAATTTTGTGGTATAAGGACCTAGTGCTGGAAGCTGTTGCACTAATGTAAAAAAAGGGGTTGTTAAACTGTACAGAGTAGAATTATGGTGCTTCTGTGCATATCAGACTATCCCCATAAAAGATCAGATACACACAAACACACACACACACTCACACACCCCTCAGTTGTGTAGAAAGTAGAAATGAGATCTCTTTATCTTGTTTTTAATTTCCAGGATTTCTTAATGCCGGGAGCTTAAGCAAGATGGATGAAGGACAATTAAGCAATACCTCTGCCTTCTTTTTAAAAAAATTTCTATGTTTGTGTGTGTGTGCATGCGCATGTGTGTGTGTATGTGAGAGAGAGAGAGAAATGTATGTAATGATTGTATCTGTGTATGTGTGCATACGTGTGTGTGTACAGTATATTCTTGAAGTTCTAATGTATTATATTTATGTCCGGAATTATTTATTTTGATTTAATATTTTTGTATGTAAAATTTTATATTAAAGCTGCTTATCCTGTGTTCTTTTTTTAAAAAAATAAACCTTGCAGTCACACCACTGCATTTTTACATATTCTACATCATATGTAGCATATTGACAAAAGTGATATGTTTATTGTCACTGTATTCAGTTGTTTACCTTCATTCAGTAATTTCTCTTCTTGTTACAGGCTGCACTGATATTTGTAAGGTGCTAACTGGGTTTCATTAAGATATTTTTGGCATTTTAAAACCAACTATTCCTTATGAGGAAAATAATTATTGTTATTAAATTTATATAACAATCAGTACTTTGCGGAGATTTGGTGAACACGCATACTAGTATTTTTACTTTATCAATAACTATAACTTACATAATTTAATGGCATGTAATTCCATTGAGTAATCCTATAAAAGTCACTGGTTTGGTGCTAATATGATAATATTTATTAATAACCTGTAGGCTTTAAAAGCTAATTCTTTGCCATATCTTGTGGCAATGGAGAATGAGTAATTAAATTTGTGTAAAATGAGAATTGTTTCAAATATTAGTTTAAGGCAGACAAAGCGTTTGCCTTTATTGGAGGAAGGCCTAATATTATTCAGAAATTTATGAGCGGTTCCTTCTTCAGATAAATCATTTTAGCAATAGGATTTGTGTGTTATCATACTGGCAACATACAGCCAGAAGGAACAGTTACTATCAGTCTGGATCAGTGGTCTTCAAAATCACAAATTAAAATATGGAAACTAAATGAATACTGAGAGAAAAAAATCCCTAAAAATTAGATATTTGAATTTTTTGCCTAAAATTTCATATTAGCAGAAAACCATGTTTTTAAACACGGTTTTAAATAGAGGTGGGATCTGGACATATTTGAACCCCAGTTCCAAGAATTCAGTGTCTGC